AAGGGGCGCAGGCAGCCTCGGCCGCTGCCTGCCCCGGCCCTAGCGCCGGAGCCAGGGAGGGCGCCGCTGGCCTCCGCTCCCCGAGCAAGCCCGCAGGCAGGAAACGTCGCGTTTGCCTCGGTTTGCCCCGGGGCCATCGGGCATCGACAAAGGATTAAATATCTCGCCTCTGACATGTGATAGAGAACAGGACATCCCCAACTCCATTTACGCTTCAGCATGGTTTATTATTGACAGTACTATAAGATGATCTCATGGAATTAACAGCTCCACTCAAAATCTCTGCTTTGAATGAGGTTTGAATTATGAGAAGGAAAGCGCAGTCTCTGGGGATATGCCTGCATTGATTCCAATCTCAATCACTGGCCCTCCAAATGGCCACAAAGAAGACACTAAAAATAACTTATTTTCATTACAGAGATGCTTTTAAAGAGAAATGAGAGGAAGGGGGGGGACATTTCTACAACGGGGATTAATGTAAGTTGGAGTGGAATAAAAGGAAGTCAACGCTGAGCAAAAAGGGAACTTAAAAGGAAACCAGTAGTAGATCATATAGAGTTTGTTTTGGCCTGCATTGCAGTATTACCGAGTTCTTGACCTCTGCACAGAAAGAGCTATAATCTGAACTGAGACTCCTCCACTTTTAAAGTCTTTGTAAGTGTGACTCACAGTAAATTTTCAACATTGAGCATGTTTACTACATTAAACAGCGCGAGGTAGAAAAGTTCACATCACTATTTTAATGGATCCACAAATGCTAGTCATCTAATGCACACTTGCAATCTGTGCAGGTTTGTCATCCATGTCTAGCTATCAACAACAGGCGCAGTATTCCTTGGCAGCAGAGGCAAGCTGCGCTATAAACAGAGAGTAAGTAGTTGCCGAGGCGAGAGATTTCAGAGATACTTTTGCTTCCAGCGTAAGAATGATGGTCTTTTAACCAGTTATTTCAAGCTGTCGCCTTCCTGACTGCCTTGCCTTGGTAAGGGAGGCAAGGGAAAGGTCCTCGGCCTTGGACCCGCCCGACTGCCTTCAGCTGACTTCCTTTCCGCTCTGCAGCCCGGGCTTGCACCAGCCAGCCCGGCAGCTCTGCGGGGGAACCGAAGGACTCGGGGATTTACGCAGATCTGCGCCGCGGCTCGGACGCGGCTTCCCGCGGGGGAGGCTGGAGGGCCGGAGGCTGCGCGGCTGCGCTCCACCTCTGCGCGCCCCGGAGCGCGCAGCCCGGGCGGC